TTTTTCCCAATTTTTCCCAAATTTTACCCAAATTTTTCCCAAGTTTTTCACCAAATTCTTCCCAAATTTTTTCCCAATTTTTCCCAAATTTTTCCCAATTTTTCCCCAATTTTTTCCCAAATTTTTCCCAAATTTTTCCCAAATTTTCCCCAAATTTTTTCCCAATTTTTCTCAATTTTTCCCCAATTTTTCCCAAATTTTTTCCCAAATTTTTTTCCCAATTTTTCCCAAATTTTTCCCACTTTCTCCCAAATTTTTTCACAATTTTTCCTCCATTTTCCCCAAATTTTTTCCCAATTTTTTTCCCAACTTTTCCCAAATTATTCCCGAATTTTTTCCCAGTTTTTCCTCAATTTTCCCCAAATTTTTTGCCAAATTTTTTCCCAATTTTTCCCCAATTTTTTCCCAATTTTTTTCCCAATTTTTCCCAAATTTTTATCCCAATTTTTCCCAAATTTTTCCCATTTTTTTCTCATTTTTTTCCCAATTTTCACCCAATTTTTTCCCAATTTTCCCCCATTTTTAACCCTTTCCTCCCCCATTTTTAACCCTTTAACTCCCCATTTTTAACCCTTGATTTGCCCATTTTTAACCCTTTATTCACCCCATTTTTCTTTCGTTTTAAGTCAAATTTTTCCCAATTTTTTCCCAATTTTTTCTCATTTTTTTCCCAATTTTCACCCAATTTTTTCCCCATTTTTAACTCTTTAGTCCCCATTTTTTAACCCTTTCCTCCCCACTTTTTAACCCTTGATTTGCCCATTTTTAACCCTTTATTCACCCCATTTTTCTTTCGTTTTAAGTCAAATTTTTCCCAATTTTCACGCAATTTTTTCCCAATTTTTTCCCAATTTTTTCCCAATTTCCCCCCCGTTTTTAACCCTTTCCTCCCCCGTTTTTAACCCTTTATTCACCCATTTTTAACCCTTTTCTCTCCGGTTTTTAACCCTTTAATTACGCCTTTTTTCTCTCGTTTTAACCCAAATTTTCACCCAATTTTTTCCCATTTTTTTCCCAATTTTCACCCAAATTTTTCCCAATTTTTTCCCAATTTTCTCCCCGTTTTTAACCCTTTATTCCCCCATTTTTAACCCTTTCAGGGCCGCCCAGATCGAGCTCCTGCAGCACCTGGTGGCCGTGGCCCACGAGCACAACCTGGGGGTGCCCCTGGAGCTGAAAATCAAATTCAACATCGTGGCCTCCCTGTACGATTATAACCCCAATTTGGCTGCCTACATGAAGGTGAAAATGGGGGAAAAATGGGGNTTTTTTCCCAATTTTTCCCCAATTTTTCCCAAATTTTCCCCAATTTTTTCCCCAATTTTTCCCAAATTTTTTCCCAATTATTTTCCCAAATTTTTCCCAAATTTTTCCCAAATTTTTCCCAATTTTTTCCCAAATTTTTTCCCAAATTTTCCCAAATTTTTTCCCAAATTTTCCCAAATTTTCCCCAAATTTTTTGCCAAATTTTTCCCAATTTTTCCCAATTTTTTCCCAATTTTTTCCCAAATTTTTCCCAATTTTCACCCAATTTTTTCCCCAATTTTTTCCCATTTTTCCCCCAATTTTTCCCAATTTTTTCCCCAATTTTTTCCCATCTTTTCTCCATTTTTTCCCAATTTTCACCCAAATAAATCCCATTTTTAACCTGATTTTTTTGCCATTTTCCACCCAATTTTTCCCCAATTTTTTCCCAATTTTCCCCCCATTTTTAACCCTTTATTCCCCCGTTTTTAACCCTTTCCTCTCCGGTTTTTAACCCTTTAATTACCCATTTTTCTCTCATTTTAACCCCAATTTTCCCCCAATTTTTTCTCATTTTTTTCCCAATTTTCACCCAATTTTTTCCCAAATTTTTTCCTTTTTTCACCCATTTTTTCCCCAATTTTTTCCCAATTTTTTCCTAATTTTCACCCATTTTTTTCCCAATTTTTTCCCAATTTTCCCCCCATTTTTAACCCTTTATTCCCCCGTTTTTAACCCTTTCCTCCCCGGTTTTTAACCCTTTAATTATCCATTTTTCTCTCATTTTAACCCCAATTTTTTCCCAATTTTCACCCAAATTTTTCCCAATTTTTTCCCGATTTTCCCCCCGTTTTTAACCCTTTATTCCCCCATTTTTAACCCTTTCCTCTCCGGTTTTTAACCCTTTAATTACACCTTTTTCTCTCATTTTAACCCCAATTTTTTCCCAATTTTTTCTCATTTTTTTTCCCAATTTTCACCCAATTTTTTCCCTTTTTTTTCCCATTTTTTTCCCAATTTTCCCCCCGTTTTTAACCCTTTATTCCCCCGTTTTTAACCCTTTCAGGGCCGCCCAGATCGAGCTCCTGCAGCACCTGGTGGCCGTGGCCCACGAGCACAACCTGGGGGTGCCCCTGGAGCTGAAAATCAAATTCAACATCGTGGCCTCCCTGTACGATTATAACCCCAATTTGGCTGCCTACATGAAGGTGAAAATGGGGGAAAAATGGGGAAAAAATGGGGGGAAAAG